TGGCGATTTCTACTTATCAGCAACTACATGGGGAATAAGGAGGAAGAGGAGGAGGAGGAGGAAGAGGAGGAGGAGGAGGAGGAGGAGGAGGAGGAGGAGGAGGAGGAAGAAGAAGAAGAAGAAGAAGAAGAGGAGGAGGAGGAGGAGGAGGAGGAGGAGGAGGAGGAGGAGGAGGAGGAGGAGGAGGAGGAGGAAGCCATCTTTAATGGACAAAAAAGTTCAACAAAGAAAGAAAATAGGAAGAGGGGAAGGAAAATTGAGAATTTAAGATTTAACAAAACAACCAAGAAAGAGAAAAATAAGGTGAAAAAAGGTACAATGTTAGAAAGCAACAGAAAAGAGAGATACAACAGAGAGGGGAAGTTAAAAAGATGGAGGTTAGAAGGGGGGGGGGGGCAAAAAGGCCAGACAGGAGAAGAAAGGGAGGGAAAAAGGGAAAAAAAGTCACAAAGGCTTGAAACAAGATGCCAAAAAGGAGATCTTTTTCAGAGACAAATGGTAAAGCATGGTTAAAGAAAGATTCTGCAAGAGTACATAAGATAGTATTGTAGTATTTGCATTTGAAATAGTGTATTGGAATATTATAAGATTTAATAAAATATTAAAATGTTTAATAATGATAGATTTCAATATTCAATAAAATATTAAAGAGAATGTGTAAAATGATTAATGTTTAATTATAGTTTAATTTGTTGTTGTCTTAATGTTATCATAAATTTACTATTTCGTTCTCTTATTTTAAAATAATGTATTAAGCAGTGGAAATTATATATTTAACTATATTATAAATTCATTATTCTTTTATTTTAAAATGCAACACGTAGAATGTACTAAGCAGAATCAGATGGGAAATTATGTATTATTTTAAGTGTCAATTGATGGGAAAGATAGAAAGGCGTCACACTTTAAAAGTGATTACAGGGGAAATTTTCTGTTAAAGAGAAGAGGTAAATAGATAATTGGAAAAGAACGGACAAAAGATACACATATAATGATTTTAAAATAAACAAAATATAATTAAGAGAGTGAAAAGAAGGGAGAAGTTATATAGAAAATATAGAATGGTAAATAAGATAAGAATGGTATATAAGGTTGGGCATGAATATGATTTAGGTCTGTAAAAAAGAGATGTAACCTGGGGCTAAGCCACTTTCCAAAAAGAAATGTTATGTTTTGTGTTTTGGTTAGCTATGTTTGATTGAGAATTAATAAAACCTTGGAGGAATAAAACCAAAGGGAGAAACAATGAGAAATTTGGAAAAGATATGTACAAATGATAAATTTGGAATTATGTTCTATAAAAGAATGTTTTATTTATTTTGTCAAAATCTACAAGTAGCCTTCAGAAAGGAGGTTTTATGTTTCTATGTCTTGTTTTATGTTTTGTATTTTGTGTGTTTATATTTGATTGAGAATTAATAAAACCTTGATAGAAAGAAATATAATTGAATAAAAGTGAAGAGAGAAATAATGAGAAATTTGGAAAAGATATATATGTGTTTAAATGGAAATGTGATAATGTGGAACTATGCTGTATAAAATAATGTTTTATTTGCCTTGTTAAAACTTATAAGTAATTTTTAGAAAGGAGGTTTTATGTTTTTATGTCTTATGTTTTGTTTATCTTTAAAAAATTAATAAAATTTGTTTTAAAATAAAAAATCTATATAGTTCTTGCTTCCTTGGTTTTGTGCAGTTATGTAGTATTTAATCTATGTCTTGGAAACTCATTGCTCCTAGAGAGGAAACCTGGTTCTCTGCTTTGGATGTAGACCATGGATTCTGGCTGAATATTAGTTGACAGAACATTGGCGATGCCACACAGACAGTAGATCAAGAGACAAATTGGGATGTTTCTTCAACAAGATCAATTCAAGCTACTTTATACTCAGTGTGGGAAATGAAAATATAGCCTGTTGATCTATTGGACTCAATAAGGCCTAAGTGAAAAAAGCAGGCCCTAAAAAGCTACATGAACCATCATAACACAACTTACAGTAATAACCCATTGCAATGAGGTCCAGTGACATAGCTGAGTCCAGCAAGGAATAACTATGGCCAGTGGCCCTGAACTCATCCCAAGACATTCTTTTTATACTTTTCTGCACACATTTCACAACTGACTACCTTGTTCTTTCTTACTGACAGACAGTTCCTTAATTCTCGCTGTTTTGTCCTTCTATGTCCAAATATATTTCAAAACTATGTACTTTGCAAAATCACATTTCACAGCAGTGGGTTTACAAATAATTCACATTTCACAGCAGGATTACAAATAATTCTGACACACTTTGAAATCGTTCTGCCTAAAATTTTGCTTCATGTAGCTTTTGAGGGCCTGCTTTTTCCCATTTAGGTCTTATTGATTCTAATAGATCAATAGGCTATACTTTCATTTCCCAAATCATTATGTGGCAGGGAAACCAGCTGAATTTCCAACAAATGTATCTCCTATGAAAGTGGTGGCTAACCTTTTTGGGCTCCTGTGCCAAAAATTGTGTGCGCGCTTGTCTATGCCTGCTTGCGTACCAGCACCCAGAAGACAATGCATGCACAACCCACCCACCCCATGCCCTCTGACTTGCACTGTGCCTCGCAGCCAATTTTCGGTCTCCCGGGGGCTTGAGGAAGGCCTCTGCAGGCTTTGCAGGCCAAAAAATCAGCCTGTTTCATCACATCCAGTATTTCTAGAAATACAGGAAGTGATGAAACAGGCCTATTTTTCAGCTTGCAAAGCCTGCAGAGGCCTTCCTCAAGCCCCTGGGAGTCTGAAAAGGGCCTCAAATGGGCTGAAAATCAGCTGTGAAGTGTGCATATGCACAGTGAGGTAAACTTGCTTGCCGCTTGAGTGCCAGCACAAATGGCTCTGTGTGCCACCTGTGGCATGCATGCCATAAGTTTGCCATCATGGTCCTATAATGTCTACTTTCTTCCATTCCTCTGCACTGCTTTTCACAGTCTTCTTCATCAAGAACACATGAGAACTCTGAGAAATTGAAGGAGCTATTCTATTGAGATCAATAGAACCCCCCTAGCTATTTCAGTGTTTATAATAAAACAGCAGATATTCCAATCAGAGAACTGTCTTAGGAAGCTGCATTGTTGCAGGGCAACAAAAGAAGACCCAGCCGATTAGCTGGGACTTGGGAGGCTGAGAACAGACAGGGACGGGACCAGTCAGAGGTGGTATTTGCCGGTTCTCTGAACTACTCAAAATTTTCACTACCAGTTCTCCAGAACTGGTCAGAACCTGCTGAATACCACCTCTGATCCAGTTGCTTTTTAAAAAAGCACCTTTGAGGTAGAAGAAGTTAATTTCCTGGGTGTTGAACTATATTCCTTCAGCATCACTTTCTGGATATGTCCTCAGTGGAAAGACCACAACCATTGGAGAACAGTTTCCCAAGGATGTATCTGTGATTTTTCACCAACATGCTTTTCTCCAGATGCCTCTCTGCACATGGAGCCCTGAAGAAGTTCACAATCCCCAGAGAAGAGGATACTTCTCACTGTAATTTTCACCATCCTGGTCTTTGAGACCTCTTCTGCTACTTCTTCAGTGACTATCTTTGATGTAAACAGACTGATGCCACATGAAAGAAAGCTTGCATCAGAAAAGGATATATGCCTCAGGTAACAATCTATGTGGCACAATTTTGGGGACAGGCAAAGGCTGCACTCCTGAATGCATCATTCTTTCCTTTCCAGGTGAAGCTTGGATTGTCTCTGTCTGAATCAGTAAAGCCATTGGCATTTCTGTCTTGTGAGATTGCTTTGGATTCTAACTCTTCTTGTTATTCTTGTTTAGAAATGGGAAGGGGATTGATTCAGCCCTATGGATGATGGAACTCCTGCTTCTGTTCCTGATGCTGTTGGTGTCCCAGCCAGTCTCTGGGAAGCTTAGAATGAAATGCCCACTGAATTTGGAACATCAGGATGGAAAAAATCCATGGAGCTGTTATAGACCAGGAGATTATCTTATTGGAGTAGTGACCACTGCAACCAAAGAATTGCATATAGCATTGCCTTTCAACACAGCTCCTTATATTCAATTTGATTCGTAAGTCATTCAGGGTCATTCAGGAGAATTCCCTTCATTTGCAGTTCTAACACTCTTCCCCCCATCCCCAGTCTTTTCTTCATATTTTGCTTACTCGTAAATTGCAAAACATTTCTAATTTCCTGAACTGTTTTTGAGTTCCATGGCTTCATTTTTTGTCTTCTTTTATATAAGAGACCCAAAGATGTGGCAGAAAAATACCCAAATTATTTTCTCTCCACATCCAGTCATTCATTCATCACTTGCATATAGACTTTTGTTTAAAGTAGTTATAGTTGCCTCTGTCCATCCTATTTCCATATTTTTATAACTGCTCATTGATATTCAATGTCTGATCCTTATAGAAATAAAGGCTGACTTGATGTTAGAGTTTCTTTTCTGGATTGCTTATGAAATGTTCTCTTGATTTTATGATGGCTGTACTTTTAGTGATTGAATAATATTAAATGCTGGTTATTGGACAGATGAAAATTAGGACTGCTATAAGTAATGACTTCATACTTTTGAATTTTAATTCTGGTGGTTGCTATCAACAGCCCATCTTCTCAACACTCATAAAAATTAAATGGTAATAAGGGATACTTCTGGTTTTGGATCAGTATTGATTTAAAGCTTGTGGAGACAAAGAGGAATGAATAAATAAGAATGGTTTTTGTTGAAGGTGATAACAAGAATTCTTTTTTACAGTACATCTTCTGATCATTCTAAAATTCTACGCTTCATTTTCACAACTGAAGTTGTCAACAAGAATGCCCAGCTCCTACAAAACCTCACACTGGGTTACAACATCCATGACAACTATTTGACCCCTCTTGGCACTTCAGATGCCTTGCTGGACATGCTATCTACTGGAGAAGCCAATGTTCCCAACTACGCCTGTGGGAAGAGTGACCACCTTTTGGCTCTTCTTGATGGAGCTGACAGGGACATCTCTATCCAGATGTCAACATTAGCAGGCACCTACAAAGTTCCACAGGTTTGTGCATATGTGTTTCATTATCTGATATGTGTGTAGAGTGGTGGTGGATGAACTGTGGATCTAGCCAGCCTTCCCTATAGAATTTGAGAGCTGCATTTCACCTTGGTCATTGTAGATGTCATAGCTAGGAATAAGTGGGGTTGAGGCAAGGATCAAAGCAAGTCTTCTCTTCCCAGGACACCATCTCTGTGTGTATCCCTGATATATCATCATTGCTTTTTCAGATCAGTTACACAGCTGCTTCAGAGGCTCTAAGTGATAAAAGTCAATTTCCCTTTTTCTACTGGATGCTCCCAAAAGTAGGGATTCTTTTCCCAGCAATTGTCCAACTGCTCCTCCATTTCAGATGGACCTTGATTGGTCTCTTTGCTTCAGATACAGAGAATGGAGAGAATTTCATGAGGACTTTTACTCCTGTACTTGTCAGGAATGGAATTTGTGTGGTCATATCACAAAAGATCTCAACAACTGACCCTACAGCCTCCCTCAAGGATGCCATCTCTAAATGGAGACAAGTCAACGTCTTTGTGTATTTTTTAGAATATGTTTCCCTTTGGGATGTACTTCTTCCTTTCCATGCAACACTTCAAGATTTGCCAGAACCCATTGAAGGGAAAGTCTGGATAATCACACCTATTGGGGAATTGTTAGTGAGAAGGCACACATTTCTCAAATACGTCCACAGTATTTTGTCCTATGCTTTTCAGTGGAATGAAAAGACCAATGATGATTCCTTTGAACCAGATCTTTTGATGGAACCACAGTTTGGAGATCAGACTTTTCACTGCTCTTTTTCAAAGCATGTCTTCTCTGTCAAAGGCCGGAGAAGGTGCATGCAGAAAGCACCTCTGGAGACCAAAGAGGAAAGGAACAGAATCTGGTTGCAATATACCCGCCATGTTTACAGTTTCATTAATACTCTGGCCCACACCTTGAATGCTGCATATTCCTCCATATCTAGGAGAGGAAGGAAAGAAGGTGAAGAGAGGTTGGGGGCTTCAAGGTTGCAGCCATGGCAGGTATGAGGTTCTGACAGGGTTCTGTCAAACTTTGTTCCTTTTGACTAAGAGACAAAAGAGAAGAAGGGAACCATCTTAACCTCGTTGTGTTACAAAAAGCAAACAATTTTGGTCATTATAATTGCTCTGAGCATACCATAATATTTCAAGGAGTGGGCACCATGACAAATACATTTTGTATCATATTTGTAGCTCATGGTTGAAATGAGGGGTCCTTGCTGCTCTCAGGTTATGTTCTTGAAGAGTTATATATTTAGACACTCAATCTTGGCAGCATTCCAGCAAACCTCTACTCTAACCAATAACTCTGAGACAGGCATTATTTCAAAAGTTCTTTTTATTTGGTTAGTAACTGGCACAACTGGGGAATCCCAAATCTGAAAATTCCAGGTTTTCTTGCAATAATAAAAACCTACAAATCCACCCCCTACACCCATCATGCTCCAATCACCATCTGTCCCAACTTGAGACTTCGCCTCACCTATGCGCACAATAGCATGACCTTGAACTAGAAAAAGAATGTTATTTTGTCTAACTACATATACTCCAAGAAATTCTACCCTTCCACTTTCCCAGGCTCAAAATGTGGCAGCATGGGATCATCTGGGTTCAATATGGCTTCTAAAGCTGACAAATCAAATATAGTGATATCAGCTATCGCTCGAAAGCCATTACCAGTAGGATCTGCAAAAAATATAGTGATATCAGCTATCACTCGAAAGCCATTAGTTTCCCTTTCATCCAAATAATTAATGACTTTATCATGAAATTAATTATATGATTATTATGAAATCATTAAAATATTGCTACTATTAATTTATAACAATCAGTGACCAGTATGCATATAGTATATACTTTATGAAAAATATACAAATGAAATTTTAATAAAAGACCTACATCTATTCTCATACAAGAAAACATGGTTTGTCAATTCCTAGTTGCTAAAAATCAAATATTGTTCTACTGGATTTTACTTATGCAGCCCCTTCTAATTGGAAAAAAAATCAATGATATTATGTCAAACACAGGTTTTTGTCAAGATATGATTGACAAATTTTGCTGAACTTTTTCTTTTGGCACTTGCATAATGGGTAGAAAAGTAAATTCAGAAAGGATCTTTGCCAACTTTCCTTACTGTAGAAAGAGTTAGCCAGACATTTGTAATTGTTATGAAATTTGTAGATTTCTTATACTTCCAACTAAAGGTATTTGTGAGTTAGAAAAATATAGAAGAAACATTCAAAAGGGAATAGACACTGAATGAGAAATCAAGTTTTCAGCTTTTAAAATTCTCAGATGTTTCTATTCTAGTTCCACCCATTTCTGGAAAAGAACAATTTTTGCAATCTTTCCCAGCGGAAATTGTACTTGGACCAAAATGGAGATGTAACAGCAGATCTAAACAGTATGAGCTGTGTGGTTCTTCCCCAGATGGATATCACTGTGGGGCAATTGGGGACTTTTGAAAGACAGAGAGTTATTTTCAACCAAGATCATCTGTCACAGCTAAAATTGCTCAACAAGGTAGAAGGAAATATTGGTCATTTTTCTTCTTCTTTCCAAATCTTTTCAAGTAGGTTAACCATGGTCACCAAGGTGGACGACCTTCATTGAGAATTGAATGTGGGAACATTCCCATTAAAATTTTGTTAGACTGCTTGGGATGCTCCAGTACTATTCATAAAGAAGTCCTTCAGATGCTATAACATGGAACTGTTCTAAGCTCATGTAGCCATGTCCAAAAATGGGTGCTGAGATTATGATTTTTCAGGACTTACAGTCCTTTTGGGTCTGCAATCCAGTAGAGAGAGGGGGGGAGGGAGGGAGAGAGAGAGAGAGAGAGAGAAAGACCCTCAGGTGTTGGAGAATTATAGAACTGACTGTAGAATGTCTTCAAAGAAAATACCAGTAGGATCTGCAAAAATTTTTTTAAAGTATCCCAAAGATGCTTTTTCGGGAGGCAACTGGATTTTTTATTTTTTTCTTTGAAGATGTTTCACTTCTCATCTAAGAAGCAGCATGGTGGGGACTGGAAGGATTACCCTAAAGAGCTGAAGAAGCTTCTTGGAATAGAAGCAAAATGTCTTCAAAGAAAAAAAACAAGGAAGTCCAGTTGCCTCTTGAAAAAGCACCTTTAGGATTCTTAAAAAAATATTTGCAAATTCGACTGGTCCAAAATTTCTTTCTTTATCATAATTTTCTTCTCTTTTAACAAATCTAAAAGAACAAAAATTTAATAAATATCTTAGAACAAATTTTATTGTAAAATTTAATTGCAATATTGATATTAATAGTCATATTTTTTTAAATGGATACATGAAGAATGGAGGAATGTATGTTAATAGGGCTGTGAGGAGCTGATTGTCACTTAATGTACAAACCTTTTCTCAATTCTATTTCTCCAGCCTTTATTAAGTAGAAAAGTCTTTTATTGCAATGTGATATGCTAGAAATAAATGGGAGAAACTAAATGAAGAGAATCTGTCAGTAGTTGTATCTCCTCCAATAATTTGAAACTAGTTAGAAAATCACTACATATGGAGTGTATCTAAGGGAAGCCCAGGATCTACTTGGCTGATGTTCATGCCAACCTCCATTTTCCATAGATGGATGCTCCTGACCTATTTTCTCTGGAATTCCTTTTTCTTCATTTTAGTCTTTCCCTCAATCCAAATGTGTGAAAAATTGTCATCCTGGATTTTACAAACAGACTCGGGAAGGAGAGCCAGTTTGCTGCTACAACTGCATTTCTTGTTCGGAGAAGACTATCTCCACTCAGGAAGGTAGGTGACATCAGAGGCAAGGATGCTGCATTCATCCAGAACATTTTGATCAATGAGCATATTAAAAGAGAAGCTTGACTGTTTTGTTGTTTATTTTCAACAAGCCAAATTTCTATTATAATGGGATGAAGTAGAAAAAAATATTGAATGATGAAATAGGAAGAAATAGCAGGTCATGAGCAGGGGTGGTATTCTACTGGTTCGGCCCAGTTTGGACAAACTGGTAGCTCCAAGTGAGCAAACTGGTTTGCTCCAACAATCAGCTGCTGGGCTGCCCACCCTGGCTCTATTCTGACCTTTATTTCCTGGTTTTCAAGCTCAGCTGCTTTGCATGGCACAGCGGATTGTCGTCTGTCAACTGTTTAACACACAGGGAGAGTGCAGAATTGCAGGAGAAGGTCAGTAGCAAACCCTCCGTGCACACACATGCTCAAAGCGTGCCTGCCAAGCCACGCCCACAGAACCAGTGGTAATTTTTTTTTTCATCCCACCACTGGATGATGAGGGATTGGTTAAGATTACTTGTGTTTCAGAAAATCTCTCTTCTATTGATCAGTTTGGAAGTGTCTTTCCATGTTAATCTTTCTTAAGAGCATTTGAATTGTTTGAAACTTGAGGAATGGTTTCAGGTCAATGACTCTTGCTTATTTGTACCAAATTAACCTTATAGGACAAAAGGGCATAACAGAATAACAGAGTTGGAAGGGACCTTGGAGGTCTTCTAATCCAACTTCATGTTCAGGCAGGAAATCCTATACTATTTCAGACAGAAGACTGTCCAATCTTCCTAAAATCCTCCAGTCTGGGAGCACCCACAACTTCTGAAGGCAAGTCGTTCCACTGATTAATTGATCTAACATTCAGTAAATTTCTCTTTAGTTCTAAGTTGCCTCTCTCCTTGATTAGTTTCTGTCATGCCCCTGTTGGAATCTGATTCTGAGGGGGAGGTCATGCAGCTGATAGGGAGTGGGAGTGCGGCTCCGGTGGCTGAGGAAGGGCACAGTCTGGCTGGGCATTCAGAGCCACCCTCTCTTCATCCTAGGGCATGCAGGGAGGAACGGAGAAGGGAGCAACATGAGTTACATGGGTTATGGGGGAGAAAAGAGTCACATTCCATTCATTAGCTGCAGCTGGGAAAACAGGATTTTAAAATGGGGGTTGTGCATAGCACCTTGTTGGAAGCAAAGTGTGAATTATATTTGTTTGTCAAGTCTTACCTGAGTTCTGGTGTCCTCCCAAATGTGTGTATTTCGTTGTCTTTTGAAGTCTGCAATTCCTTATCCTGCCCTGTCTCATTAATTGCTGCACCGTGCTTTGTGTTGGTTTTTATTTATAATTTATATGTACTTTGGGTTCGGATTGAATTTGTTCCCTTTAAAAACTGTTCTTGGGAGAGTTTGTTCTCCAGCCAATGATAACTGAACATTGGGGGCCTAGCTGGAGGTATTAAAGGGACTTTACCTACTTTTGTGACTTAGTTGCTTTTGTGCCATGCCCCGGGTCATCACAGTTTCCATCCATTGCTTCTTGTTCTGCCCTCAGGTGCTCTGGAGAATAGCTTGACTCCCTCTTCTCTGTGGCAGCCCCTGAGATATTGGAGCACTGCTATCATGTCTCCCCTAGTTCTTCTTTTCATTAAACTAGACATACTCAATTCATGTAATCATTCTTTGTATCTTTTAGCTTCCAGTCACCTAATCATCTTTTTTGCTCTTCTGTGCACTCTTTCTAGAGTCTCAACTTCTTTTTTATATCGTGGCGACCAAAACTGAATGCAGTATTCCACTTGTGATCTTACCAAGGCGTTATAAAGTGGTACTAATAGTTCATGTGATCTTGATTCTATTCCTCTGTTAATGCAGCCTAGGATTGTATTGACTTTTGTGGCAGCTGCAGGCTCATATTTAAATGATTGTTCACTAGGACTTCAAGATCCCTTTCACAATTACTACTATTGAACCAAATACTACCTATCTTATACCTGTGCATTTGGTTTTTCTTGCCTAAATGTAGAACCTTACTTTTCTCATCATTTAATTTCATTTTGTTAGATAGGGCCCAATATTTAAGAGTGTCAAGATTGTTTTGTATTTTAAGTCTGTCTTCTGGAGTATTGGCTATTTCTGCCAGCTTGGTATCACCTGCAAATTTGGTGAGTTTCCTTTCTAATCCCTCATCTAAGTTATTGATGAAGATATTGAAGAATACGAACTTAAGACAGAAATTTGTGTTTTCCCCAATGCTCATGACCCTCTATGTACATGCAGTTTCAGTGAGTGTGCTTGTTCAGCCAGTTACAAATCCATCTGGTGTTGATACTGTCTAACCTACATTTTTCTAGCTTATTGAGTAGTAGGTTGTGATTTAATCAACTTATCAAATGCCATATTGAAGTCCAAGGAAATCATACCGATAGCATTCCTCTTGTTCACTAATTTTGTCACATTGTAAAAAAATGTAAAAAGATTTGTCTGGCATGATCTATTTATGACTTTGTTTGACTCTAGGTGTTCGCTGATTCATTACTTAATTATCTTTTCTAGAATCTTCCAATCCATCCATCCATCCATCAATCAATCTGTTTTTAGATTTTTTAGTTACATAAGCAGATAGATCTAATTAGGAAAATTATGGAAGGAGGGAAGTTGGATTCAAGGGACAAAAGAAAACCAAATGGACTCACCATAAAATCTATCAATAGAATATCAGTGTGTGAGAAGGGATATAAATCAAATTCTCCATTATTAGGGACAAAATCTTTCTCTTTCTTCTTTAAATTTCTAATGGTCCATGTTATGGATTAAAAGATGAACACAAATGTTGTCTGTAGCCCAGTTCAACAATCACAGATTCAGCATAAACCAGCACTATGGATTCCTTGGTAGGATTGCTAATGGTTCCTCCCCTTTCTTATTTTTCAAAATTTCTTGGTTATTAAATAATGAAGTAAAAACAACTGCAATACCAACATAAAATAGAATATAGTTGTGTTTGTGAAAGAAAAAAGTCACACCTATACTATTGGGTTTAAAAAAAACTAATATAAAGAAGAGAAAAAGAATTAATAAAAAAACAATCTACATAATATTCATTTATACTAATATGGAGCTCATTTAGTCTTTATAATTGTTATCACATGCAGAATAGCAATAGCACTTAGTCTTATATACTGCTTTATAATGCTTCACAGCCCTCTCTAAGTGGTTTACAGAGTCAGCCTCTTTACCCCAACAATCTGGGTCCTCATTTTACCGACCTCGGAAGGCTGGAAGGCTGAGTCAACCTTGAACCTGATGGGATTTGAACTGCCAAATTGTAGGCAGCTGGTTGCAGTAGAAGTACTGCTCTAACCACAGTAGAGCAGTACTGTACTCTAACCACTGAGCCACAGAGGCTCATTTGTGAATGAAAATACATTGCCCCATCTTCTCATTTTCAGAAACTAAAGATTTTGCAAAGACAGATAATGGACTCATCTTCTCTTCTGGAATTACTTCAGGAATTAATCTTCCTTTTTGTTTAAATAAAATTCAATTTTACATGGCCACCCATCCCACACAAAGTGCCTCTGGGTGGCATACAATAAAACATTTTACAAAACCAGATTAAACAATAAAACATTTTTTTAAAAAACCAAAATTGCAAGATGGGAATATGTGAAAATATTTCACATGCGATCAGCACATAGGGTCCCTATTACCAGGGAATCCTCAAACTTCAACGTCTTCAACAATGATCTACGTAAGGGAATAAAAGGAAAACTCATTAAATTTGTAGATGATACCAAGTTGAGGAGAATTGCTGGAAAGAAGCCTTGGTGACACAGTGGTTAGAATGCAGTATTGCAGGCTAACTCTGCCCCAGCCTGGAGTTCAATTCTGATTGACTCGGCCTTCCATCCTTTTGAGGTCAGTGAAATGAGGATCCAGGTTGTTGGGGGCAATATCCTGACACTGTAAACTGCACAGAGAATGCTGAAAAGCACTATGGGATGGTATATAAGTCTAAGTGCTATTGCTATTACTATTTGGGAAGATAGAGTCAAGATTTAGAAGGATCTTGATAGACTTGAGCATTGGGCCAAATCTAACGAGGTATAGTTCAGTGGTGAAAAAAAATTGAGGTTCTACACAGGCAAAAAAAACCAAACGCAGAGGTATAGAATCAGTGATATCTGGCTCACAACTAGAAACAGTGAGAGGGATCTAGATATCCTAGCGGACCACCATTTAAGTAGACCAGAAGAGCAACCAGGATGATTAGGGGACTGGAGACTAAAACATATGAAGAACAGTTGCAGAATTGGGCATGGCTAGTCTAGTGAAGAGAAGGACCAGGGGAGGTATTATAGCAGTGTTCCAATATTTGAGTGGCTGTCACAGAAAGGAAGGAGTCAAGTTATTTTCCAAAGCATCTGAAGGCAAGGCAAGGAATAATGGATGGAAACTGAACAAGGAAAGTTTTAACATAGAAATAAGGAGACATTTTCTGACAGTGAGAACAATCAACCAGTGGAACAGCTTTCCTTCAGAAGTTGTGGAAGCTTCATCACTGGAGGCTTTTAAGAAGAGATTGGACTGCCATTTGTCAGAGATTATGTAGAGTTTCCTGCTTGGACAGGAGGTTGGACTAGATGACCTACAGTACAAAGTCCCTTCCAACTCTATTAATCTGTTAATCTATTAAAAAGGATGAGCCAGCAATGTGCTTCAGATGCAGAAAAGGCGAATGCAGTCCTCGGTTCATCAATAGAAGGATTGTGTCAAGCTCATGACAAGTGATAGGGTTACTCTACATTATACTAGTGAAGCCATACTTGGAATACTGCATCCAGTTCTGTTCACACAATACAAAAAAGATGCAGAGACCCTAGAACGAGTGCAGAGAAGAGCTGCAAAAATGATATGAGATCCGGAGGCTAACCATATGATGAACAGTTAAGGGAACTAGGTATGTCTAACTTAACAGAGAAGGATTAAGGGTGACATGATAGTTATCTTACATTACATGAGGGGTGTCTCTGAAAAGAGGGAGTCAACTTATTTTCCAAAGCACTTGAGGGCAGGACAAAGAACAATGAGTGGAAGCTCATTATGGAGAGATACAATCTAGAAACTAGAATTCTTTTTTGGCCAAGGGTGATTGGACACACAAAGAATTTGTCTTGGTGCATATATTCTCAGTGTACATAAAAGAAAAGATACATTTGTCAAGAATCATAAGGTACAACACTTAATAATAATCATAGGGTACAATAATAACCAATCAAATCATATGAGGAAACAGTCAATATAAATCGTAAGGATACAAGCGACAAAGTTTCAGTCATACAGTCATAAGTGGGAAGGGATGGGTGATAAGGAGTGATGAGAATATTAATAGTAATAGTAGTGCAGACTTTGTAAATAGTTGGACAGTGTTGAGCAGAGTGATGGCGTTTGGGAAAAGACTGTCTTTGTATCTTGTTGTTCTGGTGTGCAGTGCTCTGTAGAGTCATTTTGAGGGAAGGAGTTGAAACAGTTTATGTCTGGGATGTGAGGGGTCTGTAAATATTTTCACAGCCCTCTTTTTGGCTTGTGCAGTATACAGGCAGGAAGATTTCTACACCCTGGTTACAAAAAGAAAAATAAATGTTCTTCCACTGGGGAGAGACTGGCGGCTGTTATAGCCTTATGACCTAAAATATTTTTTTTTGCAACAGGGTATCAGTGTCGGGAAGAACTGAATACAGTGACAGGTCAAAAGCTCAAATTACACTGAAAGTCAAAAGCCCAACAAATAGTAAATTTAGCCAAAGTTTGTTAGCCCAATAGTGAGAGAGTTCCAGAATTAATTTGAATACCTATGGGAATCTTATTCTGCTAGTCAGCATGTGTACAGCAACTCGACTTCGCTAATTCACAACTAGACTTTACTAATTCACTTCCTTGACTAGCTAAAAGCATGAAGGCCCTGTGATTTTAGATGACCTCTTGAAAAATTGAAGCAACTTCAACTTATAGTTTGCTGATTGCACATGCTGTGAAGGTTTACTTACAAGGGTGTTTTAAACAGTCCATGTGTTGAGAGGGGCAGTCAGTGGCAGGATTCAAATTTTTTTACTACTGGTTCTGTGGGCGTGGCTTGGTGGACATGGCATGGCTTGGTGGGTGTGGCTTGGTGGATGTGGCAGGGGAAGGATACTACAAAATCTCCATTCCCACCCGACTAACCTGCTTCCCAGCTCCATTCTCATGTGCAGGGCAACAAAAGAAGACCCCACTGATCAATTGGGACTTGGGAGGCAGAGAATAGGTGGGGCTGGCCAGTCAGAGGTGGTATTTACTGGTTCTCCAAACTACTCAAAATTTCCACTACCGATTCTCCAGAACTGGTCAGAACCTGCTGAATACCACCTCTGGAGGCAGTGAATGCAACTGACACATATACTTACATGTATACACATTGTCTCATATGTTTACCTTTTTCTTTTAATTTTGCAACATGGTGGAGGGGTTCCAGATGGATAAAACAAACAAAAATTGTGTTTCTTAAGTTCCTTTGCTATAATTCAAGCAAACCATTATATTATATTAATTATATTATATTATATTATATTATATTATATTATATTATATTATAT